GCTGACCGTAGCTATTGAGATTTCTTTCGTAAAACTTACAAATATAAGACTGAATGGTACAACATGGGAGTATAACAGGATGATGCTCACTGGGATAAAAATATATTATGCCCTTAAATATGCTTTCCTTTAAGTGTGTCATGAACTGTGAATAAAATGCTTGCCCAATATTAATTTACATGGCTCAACTGTCCGCCACAAAAATAAGTCATGTTATATAAACCTGAATATCTGGTATTTGAAACCTTTTCAGGGCACAGCACTCAAACTGCAGGCTTGGGAATGCTAGCAGTATCTATTCAAAACACCATTAAAGATAAGTAGTTATATAAGATAAATCTATTACAGGGTGGCCTAATTAGCTATAGAGCACTCATTATACTGCTTGTTTAAATAAAGAACATGTACAGCTTCTCCTTTCTGAACTCAAGCAATGAAGCAAAAAGCAAATCTAAACTTCAACAAACTTCAGAGTTTTTCACACAGACTAAGCATAACAAAGACTACTGTGGTAAATGAAGCAGATATATTGCATTCTGCCATAGTGACAGAATATCAGAGAAGATCAAATAAGGGATCAGCATGATCTACCACTGTGTAGGTCTTCATTTTTACTTTAAGCTATATAAGCTTTTTATCACAAACAACAGCTGCAAAAGACTCTATTTGCTTTAGTGAAAACTAAAAATGCTAACATAATAAAATACATATATATGAAGAGAATGACTGGTCATTTACGGCCTTTTTAGCTCTAGTTATAAATATAGTTAAACTTAGTGAATGTTCCTTTCATTTGAGTAAGCTCCATCCTCATTTTCTATTCAAACACAGTTATAGAGAAAGCTGCTTGGAATGGATCTTATTTTTTACATAAATTATAACTAAACTTCTTTAATAACTTAGGAGATTACTGAAGCCTTTATATACACAGGAACATGGAAATTCATTTGCACAAAGGTTGCAGTATTGTTTCAGGTTTGTAATTCCTTTAATGAAACTACAGTGCATATGGTTACATAAAATTAGCATAAAATACTATTCAAACATTTTTTTAAGCAAAATGCTTCAAAATACAACCAATCTACTTGGTTATCTTTAAAATCTATAAAAACGGACAGAACCGATTAAAAGAATACAAGGAGGCACCTTCATAAGAATGAGAGGTCAGCAGAGGGAGAGCACAGAAACCATTTTTCACATTGTATTTGTTTCTAGTTTCCCCACAAGAAGCATGATGACCTAGCTCCCACGTTCACAAGAGCTGCTCTGTAATGATGGGGATATGTGGGGAAGGAAGGTTCAGCAAACTGGACAGCTGAACAATGGGAGCATGGTCCTATCTCCTTCTCTAGCTATATAAAGCAACATATTTTACATAAGGTGCTCATCTGACTTTCTTCCTGCCCTTTACAGAAGAACATACCACAGAATGGTTTGGGTTGGAAGCGACCTTAAAGCTCATCTAGTTCCAACCCCCTGCCACAGGCAGACACCTTCCACTAGACCCAGCTGCTTAAAGCCCCATCCAACCGGGCCTTGAATACTGCCAGGGATAGGGCAGCCACAGCTTCTCTGGGCAATCTGTTCCAGTGTGTCAACATCCTCACAGTAAAGAACTTCCTCCTAAAGTCTAAATCTACCCTATTTTCAGTTTAAAGCCATTACACCTTGTCTTATCACTACATGTCCATGAGTAAGTCTAGTAAAGGACTTAATAAACTGCAAGAAGATGAACAAGAACTTTTTAAAAATATAAATCAGCAAGTTTACATACCCTTGGTACATCCTGACAGTCCTCTGAACTAAATTAAATATTTGAGTAATACTGAATGATACAGTTCAATAAATTGGCCTTTGTATTGCAAAAGAAGTACAGTCTGTAGTTAAGCTCAAGGAAAATGGAAATGGAAATGAAAATGGATCTACTTGGTCCAGTAATGACTGATAAATTACCATTAAATATTGAGAACATACATGGTAAATAAATATGAAAAATACATGGGATAAAGGAAAATATGACCAAAGTTAACACAGAACTATGACTTTGCTGAGATTTTTTTCCAAGTTGAATACTGAGCCTTTTGTCAAGATATGATCAACACAGCACCTTCATTGAGCTGATACATAGCAATAACATCATTTTATGCTGGCATTACTGGTTTCAGCAAGCTTGACCAACAAAAGTACAACAATTCTTGTTACAGCAAATATCTCCAAATATTGTAACAAACAGTACATCCAAGCAGCTGAATCAGCTTTCTAGATTTCCTTATAAACATTTCTTTGACAGTCTCTCCTATTTGGGTAATACTTAAAATTACAGATAACACTTAAAAGAAGTCTGTATTGTAGACGCACACATACACTCTATTAGAATTAGGAATTCAGCAAGAATGATGTAATGGGATCTGTATTTAGACTAGGAAAAAATATTTTTTTATATAACTACTTTTGCACTTCTCAAAGATCAGAAGCTTCCCTTTGTTCCATTGATCTATAATTTAAAGTATTAGTTTCAATTCCTATTCATCAAAGGGATAAAATTATTGATTAATTTTATATCATACTGTATCATGAAATCCCTCTTTGCTTTGGTTCATTCTACTATCTATTTGTCTTACGAGTCATTTTGCCTAAATGACAACCACAATAACAATATTTGAGCTTTTAAAATTTACATTCAAACTGAATTTTTCTATCCAAGGAAAGATCACTTAAAATTAAACGAAAAATATTAAATTTTTTTCCAAGAGCACAGAAATTTTAGAAAGAAATTTTAAAAAGTTTTAGTAATCACTAGACCAACTCAAGAATTTCTTATCTAGATTTTATGTGCAAAAAGCTCTTAATGGCAGAATGAATCCTGCTTGCATAAAGTTTTTAGATATCTAATAGCTACAAAAAATAAGTGGACAAAGTCAAGAAACTGCATTAGTTTGAAAATATTTTTCTGGTTTAAGTTGGATCACACTTCCATTTTCAAAGCTTTTCATAAGCTTTAATAAGTAAAAAAAAAAGTTCTGAAAATATTAACACAAGTAATCTCTAAGATCAAATATTCTAACTCAATGCGGATGAAAAATGGCTTTATAAGCCAAGAGATGCCCCTTTTGGCAATATCAGCTGAACAAATAATTCCTAAGAAATCAAGGACAGAGAGTCTCCCTTCCAACCTCCCAGCTTTCTAATGAAAAAATAAGAATCCAAAAAATTTCCAGGCTTTCCAGATGTAAAAATAGGTATGTTTTGTATTTCAGTTTCTGTCCATTCCCTGTTCTCTTTCACTGAATACCACTGAGGAAAAGTCTGGCTACATCTTCTTCACTCCATCCCACCTGGTATTTATACATACTGCTAAAATCTCCCTGAGCCTTCTCTTCTCCAGGCGTAACAGTCCAACCTCTTGCAACATCTCCTCATCTGATAGATGCTCAATTACCTTAACCATTATCATGGTCCTTTGCTCAACTCTTTCCAGTACGATGATGTCTCTTGCAATTGGGAGCCTAGAACTGAACCCAACACTCCAGATGTTACTTCACCAGTGCTGAGCAGAGGTGAAGGCTCACCTCACTCAACCTGCTGGCAATGCTCTGCCTGCATAGCCCAGGGGCTGTTGTCCTTCTTTGCCATAAGGATGCATTACCACCTCCTGTTCTGTTTGTTGTCCACTAGGACCCTCCAGGGCCTTTTCTGCAGAGCTGCCTTCCAGCTGGTCAGCCCTCAGCTGTAATGGTGTTTCCCAAGTGCAAGAGTTTTCATTTCCCCTTGCTGAATTCCACAAGATTTCTGTTCATCCATTTCTCCAGCCTAACAAGGTCCTTCCGAATAGCAGCACAACCTCCTAGTCTATCAACTACTCTTCCCGACTTTACATCATCTACAGACTTGTGGAGGCTATGCTCTGCCCTGTAATTCAGACTATTAGGGAGGATTTTAACCAGCCTAACCCCTAGGATAGGCCACTTGTGACTGGGCTCCAGCTGAACTTTACTGTTTGAGCCTGGCAGTTCAGTCAGTTTTCAATCCACCTCACTGTCGATTTTTCTGCTCTGTACCTCATTAGTTTGTCAATAAGAATGTCATGGGAGATAGTGGCAAATGCCTTGCTGAAATCAAGGCAAACAAAGGAAAAAGTTAACTGTATCACAGCTGAAATCAGAATAATCCAAACCAGACGCTAAGCCAATACTGGATCTTGTAACATATGAGCCATCTAAGTCAACAACTAGCCAGTCACTCACCATTCCCTAAGAGGACATGGGTTTTGCTCTTTTTTTCTCTCTAAATAGGAACTACATTCTTTTTTTCTAGAAAGATTATTTTATTCTAAAGGATGTCCCTTTCTCTTCATCAGTTTCTGGGCTTTTATCCCTCCGTTCTTAACAAGAGTCAAGCAAGACTCCTCTGAATCAGTGCCTAAGAGTTTACAATAACCTTGAGTATGCTCATCAAACAGTACTTAAGAGTTCTTCATTTCTACGTTGTTTTTAGTCTAGTCTTCATGGTAAATTGCAATGAAACCACTGTTACCATTACAGCGAAAGGTGAAAAACCAGTTCAACAAAGTATTTATAAATTAATAGAGTATCTTAATATCATATAATTGCTGTATCAATTTGGGTAACAGGTTGCTGTATATAAAAGAGAGAAGAGCCATAAAGAGTTAATATTTATTTTCTAGGCTACTGCTGTAGATTAGAAAGATGAAACATACTCAGAATTGCAGATAAAAAAAAATAATTTATTCATTATAAAACCATACAAAATTAATCTCTGTTTTGACTCTGTAATATACACAGCCTTTTCTAAGACTGTCTATTCTAAAAGAAGTAAATGAAGGTAAATAATGCATAAGTATTACAGTGGTCAATCCAAAACAACTTGCCTAAGCACATTTTATTTGTCATAAAACTTTTCTCAAAGACATTCAAAACTACAGCACACAAGACTCCTAATTAGAAATATGCACACTGAGAGCCACAAGGATGAACACATACCCTTAATAATCGATTCAGCAGCATACAGATCCCGCTTGTAGGTCACCTAAAGGACAGACAAGCCTCATTAGATTTAACACAGCAGGAAGGAATGTAAAACCAATAAAACAATGCCCTGAAGGCAATTCTTTACATTTGAAATACCATAAACAAATGATAGTGTCAATTTCTTAATTCTGGTAAAATATCACCAGCGAGTCAGAAATTGCAAAAATTACCTGAGACTCAGGAGAAACCTTTCTCTAAATACTTAGATCTGCTTAGATCTCATTTGAAACCTAAAACTACTTTTAACCCTCTGCAGAATCATAAAAACATGCTGTTGCATCTATTTTAACACACCCATTCTATTCTATAATTTTTACTGTGAAATAGATTCATTTTTTTATGGGAGTTGTGATCATAAAAAAAAATGACAGCTAGGGAGAAGCCTCATTATTTCAGTAATTGTTCAGTAGTGCAAGACTATTACTGTTAATGAGAGTCCAATTAATCAGTGGGAGTGAGACCACTGTAGGCTTTGAATGAGCTTTCAGAGGATTAAAATCCATCAAAATCTTCCTGAAGACATTAATCAGACCAAGTTAGATGGACAATAATAAGCTGAGTATTAACTTGGTACTTGGAAAAGCAGCTTTCATATCTGTCTTTGTACCCTCATGGTGGTGGACAGACCCAGTACTAGGCTTTGCAAATACAATGAGAGAAAACTAAAGTCAGCATCTACCAAAGACATTAACAGTCTTTGCTAGCAATGTCTTTGTAATGACATGCAGTGACATGAACTGATGCAGGAATAACTCCTAAATATTTGTCTTTGTTTTTACTGTAACTTCCTTTTATGTTAAATAAAACATTACTGGATTTTCTGCATTTGTTTCTCTAGAGTCTGAATAACTTTTTTATGTGATACTGTGATACTGTGATTTCTTTTAGAAATGGACTGAATACGATTCCAAAAGCTTTAGTGCTGCAAAGGAAATCTTACAGCAGACACATACCATTATGGGTATTAGCATTTTAGTCTCCAAGTAAATGCTTGTTTGATTTTAACATAAGGATTCTTGTGAGCACTTTCCTTTCCATCTCATAAATTAAGCTGTGTATTGTAGTCACAAAGAGAAGAGTAAGATTACCTTTCCCATTACTCATCATTTCTCTAAGGAATTATACTTTTTTAAAATGAATAATTAACTTAGTTCCCTACAGCTTGTCCTGCAGGAGAAGCAGCCAGAGAATGAATCTAGCCTGAGAAATCTTTGGTATCTGAGCACACTGCTGGGAAAAATCAAATGTCTTGAATTTAAATTTAAGGATAAAGAATTATTAAGTGACCAATTTTGTTGCAAGGTTTCTTTCTAATTACCTGTTTCTAAAGGGCTTTTATACTGAACTTTCAGTAACCTGTAACAGATTACCATCTGAAACACTTTTTTGAAGTAAGACTATCTAAACTCCATGGAAAGTGGTCTCATGTACTCTAAGGTTCACAATCTCAGATGCGAAATCATTTTTAAATAGTCTGATTTTAAGAAGTTTCTTCATAAACTAGGCCCAGTCTTCGAGAAAAAAGCACAGAATAATATAGAATTATGAATGAACCTTTAAAATCACTTCTGAAATTCTGAGCAAGACATCAACAAATCCTTTCTAGCATGGTTTCCTAGAGAAATAAATCATCTGAGACCACCTCAAACTATCCATATATATTTATTTCATAACCTTTTAAGCTAATTTCAGATACAAGCTCCTATAAACTGCGTGAAAATAGTCATGTTGACAGACATAAAAACCATGCTAGTTATCACAGGTGATCACCACAGGAAGTGAGGGATTCTCTACACCTCTTTCAGTATTTAGTAAGATGCTAAATCCAATTAAAGTTTCTCTTAAAGTGTGGGTATTTATAACATGTCTGGATTTTCTTGTGTTGATTAAGAGGTGCTCTTGCAATTTAGATGAGATTTAGTAAAAAGGCTGGCAACCATGACAGAGACACCCTTTGGTCTCATTCTAACCATTGATTGTTTTAGTATGCATTTGTTCTAAACAACTTTCAAGGCTAGTCAACACAGTCTTATTGTTCTGAGCAGCTATACTGCTTTACCTCTAGTTTCACTAAAATGGATTTGCATTCTAGGCTCACACCAGCCAGAAGCAATTCAGATCTAGCCCAATAAACCAGGAAGAACATTATAGCTGCCACCCTATACCAAAAAGTAAAAAGTCATTCCCCACTCACAGACCTGTGAGGTGCAAAAAGTACAAGCAAGAAAAACGACACACGGGAGTCCTCCCTCACTTTGCAGAAGAGAGATGTTCTACCTCAGCCACTTCTGTTTGTTTGGGTTTTTTTTATATCACATTATTAAACTAAATCTTTACAAACTTATCAAATTACCATTTAATCTTTTTCATGCTCTTCTCTGAACCTTCTCTATTTATCACCAGGTGCACAGAGCTTGAGTCCAGATTTGACAATAATATTCTAGAAGCACTTGTAATCCTAAAACATCTCTTTTCTAACTCATGCTCTTATTTCTCTGTCTGTCGCTGACATGTATTTTGCCCACAGTGGAAACCTACTATCCACTGTGATGCCTAGATCAGTTTCAAAATCATCGCCTTCCTAGAACAATTCTCTAAATATGCCCTACGCTGCTTCTGTTTCTAAAAAACACTTCTTTGGTTTTGGCTGCAATAAAAAGCATACCTTTTGTTTAAACTGCTTATCAAGCATTCCTTATCAATAGGTTATTTTTGATCAGTTCTATTTTTATTTACAAATCTTTAAATCTTTGTGTTGTCTACACACTTTCTCAGTCAAATGTTGAATAGCATAGACATTAACAGTTTCTGCAGAACTGTATGTGGTGAGAATTATCTTTTGAAATATGTATCAGTTACCCAATTTTTAATCTATTTAATAAGGATTAGTACAATCACATTTATTCTATTTTTAATTAACGTGCTATGTAGTAACAAGTCAAACTTCTGCCAACCATATATTGTATCAGCACTACCAACTTTTCAGCCAAGGCCATAATCTTGTAAAAAAGGCTTGAAGTCAATTTCGTAAAATAAGTAAATGGTTGACATTCATTACATCAGTCCCTTAACGCTTTCTTTATCAAGTTATGCCTATAGCACCCTTTTGCTTTGCTGATCAATATCAAAGTCACAGGATTCTACTCAGATTCTCTCGCTTCATATAAAACATTAATTTTCATCTTGTCTTCTTGAGCATCTAGTGCTCAAAGATTTTTCGAACATTATTGCAGCAATCCAGAACATCACTAGGCCAAATACTAGAACTCAACACAAATCACAGAATCATAGAATAGTTAGGGTTGGAAAGGACCTTAAGATCATCTAGTTCCAAGCCCCCTGCCATGGGCAGGGACACCTCGCACCAAACCATGTCACCCAAGGCTTCGTCCAACCTGGCCTTGAACACTGCCAGGGATGGAGCATTCACAACTTCCCTGGGCAACCCATGCCAGTGCCTCACCCACCCTAACAGTAAAGAACTTCTTCCTTATATCCAATCTAAACTTCCCCTCTTTAAGTTTTAACCTGTTATCCGTTGTCCTATCACTACAGTCCCTAATGAACAGTCCCTCCTCAGCATCCTTATAGGCCCCCTTCAGATACTGGAAGGCTGCTGTGAGGTCTCCACACAGCCTTCTCTTCTCCAGGCTCAACAGCCCCAACTTCCTCAGCCTATCTTCATACAGGAGGTGCTCCAGTCCCCTGATCATCCTCACAGCCCTCCTCTGGACTTGTTCCAACAGTTCCATGTGCCTTTTATGTTGAGGACACCAGAACTGCACACAATACTCCAGGTGAGGTCTCACAAGAGCAGAGTAGAGGGGCAGGATCACCTTACTATCACACAATATGAAACTATCATCTCCTTATCTGGCAAAGGCAGAATAGTTTTAGTTAGTAAATATTTCTCTACTTTTCTGTATAAGAAACAATCTACTACATCTATTTAGCAAAGCCTCAAAACCATCAGACAAGGGTTGGTTTGTTTATTTTCCTGTGTGCTCTTCTCTCTCAATTGTCAGACTGCCACTTTCCACCATCTAGAAAGTTCCCCAAGGTTATTCAAATTTAATATTTAAAAGCCTTTTCAAACTCATTTAGCTTGATGAACATTTCAGATTCACAAATCTGTACATTAAGTGCAAAACATAACTCTTAAACAAATACAATAAAGTTATGATCACGCATACACAAAATGAACTGCACTTAAATAAGTATTTCCTTCTGTTATACTAAGGTATCATACAGATCTCCTTCGTATGGGGTATTTTTGTAGGATTAGAAGATGACCTATTGTTTTTAGAAATGGTGAGGAGTTTTTGCACTATTAGCATTAAGTTTTAAATGCACATCAAACCTTTAAAAAGGTTTTACAATGCAGTTTTCATGTGAATTATACACACACATATATATTAGACTCCAATCACATTGTGTTACATGACTTTATACTTAAGGGGATATTGCCCCAGAACTTTTAAGGTTAACTACATTTATAATAAAACTTATAAATATTTATAACACTCAAGTAATTTCAGTGTTCCTGCCTGCTTGTTGTCACTACAAAGAATGATTTCAGTTTTGTCATTTGCTTGCAGAAAGCAAACAAACTACCTCTTGCTTTAGCGTTAACCATAAGTGACTTTGAAATGTTACCTTCTTTCATGCGCTGTTAAGTAGAGAAAGAATAATTAGAGTTAATTCAAGCAAACAGCATGTATGGACATAAAAGTAACTTTTTCCCCCCAGCTTTGAGCCACTTAATGTTATATATAGGTTGTGCACCTAATAAACTGAATTCTTACAAATATCAGATCTGTTGAGGTCCACACAGAATGAAACTGGTTTGTAATACTCGCACTTCAGAAACTGTTCTCCACAGTTCTCTACGGCACAATGATTATTCCAGTTCTCATTTATCTGGATAGAACATCTTTTTTACTTGTGCTGAAAAAGTAAGACTGGGGCCATTGGGAGCACATGAGTTCTTGGCATACAAAATACAACTTGTCTCAGCATTGAAAAGCCTTACAGGAAACAAAGGAAAAAACAACAACATAATATAAATTACATTAGTCTCAAAGCTATGGAAAGACAATTCTGCCTCTGAAAGGTCATTAGGAACAAAGAGCAATAGCTCTTAACCATTTTGTAGGCAAGCATCACTTGAGAAAATTGGCAGCCTTCTGCATTTCACCAAACTGCACACTGAGCACGAGTGTTGCCTTCTTTACTGCTTCAAGTCACCTACCAAACATTCCCACACAGAGTGACCAATATTAGGGCACTATTCAAGAAGGAAGGAGCTATCATCCTCTGGAGCCTTTGATACAAGTGTTTGCTGCAGAAACAATTTAATATACAGACCTCATAATTTTTATGTCTTTGACTTGTTTTTACACAAGCCACAGAAGACACCCATGACTTTTAGCTACAAAATAAGACAGAAAATAGGAGCGAGAAGGTATAGGTATTTTAATGACATGGCACCAGCATCTTTGTACATACTAAAATAGCACATTCACTGCTCTGCGCCACCTGCAGTACAGTACCTGCACCAAAATGGGTGCTGCTGCTAACAGCATTAGGATTTCATTTCACCAACGTTGGAGTGGTCACAACACTTCAACAATTCTCCTTTAGAGATGTGCACAAGCTCAAGTCTGAAGTGTAACTGGGTACTAGTTACTACTGCTGTTCCTCAAGGACTGATAGTAGGGACAATACTGTCCAATATCTTTATTAATAACCTGGGAAATGTGAAATAACCTCAGCAAACTAATAGAGGTCAACAAATGGGGAAGTATCCAATATGCTCAAGGTTCCAACACTCATTTAGAGGTATCCTGAAAAGCTGGATAAAGAGGCTGCCAGAAACCTTATCCAAACATCCTGACCCCCATTTCAGCAAGGTGTTGGACTAGGTGACATCATTTCTTTCAGTCTAATTATTCTGTCATTCTAGGTCAAAAGACTACATTTCATCTAAGAGTACATATTACAAAGAACTAAATAAACAACATAAAGAACTAAACTAACATTATGGGTATATTTTTTACCCCTCATGGAAGTAGCATGCTTTACAACGAGCACAATGAAACCATCCAAAAAGTGACGTAATACAAATACGCATGACATAATCTGTCCCTTAGACAACTGAACAGGAAAACAGACAATATACTGTTTCAGAAAGACTATGTCCCCAGAAAGATACTGAAAAAAGTTGCTGTATGCAATCAACGCATAAGTAATTTTTGCTGTTACACTGCACAGGAAATTTGCACTGCAGACTCAGGAAATTACCCTTCTGTGTAAGATTTACTGTCATATTATTAGAAATCATGTCCCATTGGAGGAAATTTACTGTCAAAGACAGATGGAGTGATTTGAGCTGCTTCCAGGTCCTTCAGTGTGGTAAAGAATAATATTTTATAAAAAAGTAAACACTTAAAAATTGCATGACACAACAGCAGAAGAAAGCTACTAGAAGAGTAATGAGGTACTGAGAAAGAAAATGTCCCACCTTCCAAACAATGAAATAGGATAAAGCAGCAGGGACCTATCCTTTAGTACTTGTATACACACCTGCTTTGTCAGTCAACAGGAACCTACAGATTATCAGAAAAGGTGAATGATGTTCAAAAACATTTTAAAAGATTGTTCGAAGAGGTCTTAAACATCACAGTTTTACTGTAAAATGTAAAATGTAAAACATTACAGTGTTACTGAAGGTAAGCTCTAAAAATCAAACTGTTGTTAGCCAGGTATTTGGCATCAGAGAAAAAGTGATGTTCTAGTAGGAGAAGTAGAGGAAAACAGACAAAAGAAACAGTATTTCTATATCTTTTGCAGAGAAGAAAGGAGAAAGGAAAAATCTTATCTCCTAAAAGAATGTTCTTACTTTTAGAGATTATGGACTTACAGTTTTATAAATTCTCAAGCTACTCACAATTACCTAGATGGTTTTCCAACTTCGAGCTAAATACTGTCCTCTTTGATTATCTCAAGTAACATCGCCCAAGTCTGTCTACAATGAGCTCTAAAAGAAGTTTATGATAATCCAAAATATTCTGAGATTTAGAAGAGAAAGCCTATTACGATTGAAAACACATCTATATTTTTATGTAAAATACAAATGTTATTAATTTTAAAAATATATAAAACATAGAGATTATTATTGCCTTTACCTTCCAGAGATCAGCTGTTCCTTCAACAAGTTTGGCATTTGTTTTACAGTATTTCAGAGCCAGGTGCAAACATTCAGTGCCATAATCCAGGTCGCAGTCCGTACACTGTAGCCATTGAAAAAGAGTAAATATCCTTAATCAGTTTAAAAGAAATCATACTTTTCAGCAGTCACAGATTTTCTTTCATTAATTAAACCTTACATCTCAAGAGTCCTGTCCAGAATCATACATGCAGGTAGGTAGGTTCAGGATGGATCAGAAATAAAAACCTTCCAAGAAGCTTATGCCAAATTCTACCTATCCAGCAAAGTATTACAAAAGTAAATCAACACTTTGTAACCACAAATGAATTGGAGTAGGTGATGCAAGTATCCTTCTAAACCTCTATGTTATTAACTAAATCAATAAGAAGTCACATATATAAAAAAAGTTTGGCAGAGTTGAGACCTCACCAAAAGAAATCACCAACCTTCTAGCGACAAACTTTTAGAGTATGGGAACAAGTTAAGAAATTGTAGAAGCAAGACTTCAGTGCCTTGGCTGGTTTGGTTTTTTGTAGCATATAAAAAGGATAGTAGCAATTAAGAACCTCTGTATTTCTTCTATATTTCCCTCTACAACTTTCTTCACACAAAATTGTGAAATTTGATGCTGCTCCATGAGCCTTGCAGATTAAACAACAACAAAAACAAAATCAATAGAAAAAAAAGTCTGTCCACTTTTTGGTCACCTGTAAAAGGCATTCTTCTCTCAATGTGCCCTTCCCAAGTGGTTTGGCTTCCTATAGTTAGTGATTATAAGAATCCTATTAATGGAAAACTGAGTAGGGAACAGAATCTCCTAAGCCAAAACAAAGGTAAGTACAAAAGCAGCAACTGGGGGTTTATTGGACAGGATTACCTCAAGATGAATCGACTCAATTTAGGTAAAAAAGTTCTAGTCTCTTTTCATACTGTTGAATTACCAGTCCATCCAGAAACATGAATAACATGTAACAAGGAAGTATAACTTAAGACAAGGTCTTTCATAAAACTGGATTAATATGATAAGACCACAGGCTAACTAGCCCAGTATCCAGTCTCTAGCAGAAGCTAACAGTGAATAGTCAAGACTAAATCAAAACAATGTATCTTCTTACATTCCCAGAATATTCGCTTGGCTTCATATGAAGCTATTCTTCTGGCTTAGGAAATACCTAAACTAAGAAGTCTCCAAGGGACACACTGAACCAGAAGCAACTGCCTTAACAGTCCTCAGTGAAATACAGGAATCCTGAATCCACTCAATTACTTTTTGAATAGTGGTATTTTTTTAGCACCTGCATCAGGGATCATCTGAGTTATCACTCTTTTTATTACACGCTCTGTTGTTCTGACAGAAAACAAGTGACTGAGTGCAAAATCACCTTCTCAGCCCTTCAATATGCTCCACCACGTCTCTTCTCACATCCTTCTACAGGTAAAAAGATCAGCATCTATTCAGTCATTTCATGTGTGGAACTTACTTCAAAACTCCAATCAATCATTTTGCCCTCCTTTACATTTATCTACATTTACCTATCGATTTACCATAGCATCCTTCTCTAAATCTTCTTAGTTAGCCCACACCTCTACTACCCAGAAAAAAATAGAAAAAATGGGTATCTCCACTTCCTGTTCCAAATTACCTATAAGCAAAATGAACTGCACAGGTCCCAGCACAGATATTCACAAAACTCCACTGGGATTTACTGCTGTGAAAACTGATCATACTCTTTACTTTGCTTTTTATCTTCTAGAAAATAATCTGCTCTGATAAATCCTTACTCTTATCCCAAATCTGTACAGTTTCTTTAAGGAGCCTTTGGTAAAAACTTCAGGGAAACATCTTACTACGCAAGTTGGCCGTTACCAGCTTCAGCAACCTCAAAAAAAGATGCCGGAAAATTCCTTGAAGAATAATTAGCTCTGCGATGCATAAGCTTTCCTTTACAAACACTGAAATAACCCTTACACTGTGTCAAATTTAACCATGTGTCCATAAATTTGTGTTTCAAATAAAGTGTGACAGTCCAGATACTGTGCTCAGTAATTCAGTCTCCTCCAGGATTCAAGAATTCAGAATTGTCAAGAATACAAAAGTCTAAGAGGGTTAAAGAATATCCAAATAAGAGTGCTGAAATACAATTTGCCTTTTGAAGAAAATTTTTAGCTTTTATTCTTGTTTCATAATGCATCAGTGAAATTTAGGAATTCATCAGCATTATAGATATGAGTTGTATTGTTAACACAGACAGACATCTTAGGAAAATCAAGGTATCACTTTTATGTTAAAGTAGTAATTTTTGTCATTTTAGTTTTCATGACTGCAATCAAAAAGGAGAGTCTCTTATACAGCCCATTTATAAAAGTAATTCAAGCATTATACTGCTCTTTGGAAGTTTTTGAGCATTTCAATAACAAAACAAAACAGACACAAGAAGATAAACTGACATGAAAGATTTCTTTCAGAATACTACAGAAAACAGGAGGTTCAAAAAAGAAACTTTGGAATATTTTTAAATTGAACAGAAAATATTTATATTTCTTTAAATAATCAAGATACCAAATAGGTCAATAGAAAATATAAAGGAATAGTGAACTCTAGCTCCAAAATATACAAAATGGAGTGATCTCTTTAGTAAAGAGGCCCAGAGATACATTGCCAATGAAACTAGAAATGGCCTAGTAACTTTCAATTGCAAATATTTATTATGTTTCTGTTTCCTTTTTTTTCTGTTTTAGTTTTAAGGAAGATTTTTCTGATAGAATGCAAACTATTCTCTACTAAAGTGAATAACATAGAGATTAAAAAAAAAAAACATGTATTTTTATCTTGCCTCAGAATGGAAGAGAAAATTTCAGTAAAATTTAGCTGTGAAAAAATTTACTTTGAATTAAAATTAAGCTACATTTTTAAACATATGGGTAAGGAATTATACTAGGGCAAGACTAAGCAATTCCAACTTTTTAGCAAGGTATTAATTACAGATAATTAGTAGGGAGTGGAGAAGTTCCATAAATGGGCTAAAGCATCTTGAGGGTATTGCCAGCTTCAAGGGATGAAATATGACACAAAGCAAAGTAATAATTAAAAACATATTTCACCAACACTTGTACATCATGACATTTACCACTCTAATTATCTGTAATTGTTTAAACCTAAACACACTGTCACAGTGTACTTTTCTGCAAGTCTGATAGTGATGTCAGAGCAGAACAATGGAATGGAAGCATCAGCTCAAGACCAGCTTAGTTTATATATTATTCAAACACTAAACAGATCCAGAATTTGAAATCCATATTTAAGGTACAGAATTTGAAAGCTTCTGTACAGCACTAAGAAATTCAGTTAACGAATTAAGCATTATCAGGGAGTGCCTATAATGAAAAGCTGTGGCATATCTATGAGGAAAACTGTTAATGAGCCAAGCATGCAAATGTTCACAGCTTAAGCCTTCTGTAGGTATTTCATTGTACCTCTAGAGCCAATTTACACTACAACAATCTGTTAAAAACTCTCTTTAACTGAAAGGCTTTTTAACATAAAGTTTGACAGAATACAGTTAACTGAACTTGACATAGCTTTGTGAAACAATAGACAGTTTAAGTTTCAGACCACAGATTCGAAATGGCAGAAACAGCTGGAAATATTGGCACAAAACATATCCACAAAAGAAAGCAAGCAGATTAGTTTAGCTTTTTAAATGACAGAGAAGTAAATATGTTATTTAAAAATGCTTTTGAACTGTTGAATATTCAAAGGAGTTCTACTAGGTAGTTTTGGGGACTGACTTTTTTTGTGGGTGATTTTTGTTTGCTTTGAAGAGTGGATGTTTGAATAAAGTGCTATGGGTGAAGCAAGATCCAGACTTTAGCATTACACCAATTCTCCCCCTGACCCATAGATTAGTTTGAAAATATTTTGTCAAATAATATTAATTCCTAAAATGCAAACTATACTGTTGTTACTTAGCCATAAACATGGAAAAAGGGTTTAGAAAAAAGACTGTGCAGTCTTTATCTCCCTGGTACTTAGTAACAGCCTATAAACTAACTTGTTTCCAGTACAATACTTTGAACAAGTAAAATTATGAAGAAGCAAGATTTAACATTAATAATTGCTTTTAGTGTTAACATGCATCATTTTACTGTATCTTTATACTGATAAAAGATTTTGAATGCATATATGGGAATTGGTAACCATAGAGGCGAACAAAGAGGCAAGAAAAATTTTCATTACAGCACTGATGTTTTTTTCCTTTTTCATCATTCCTTAGTTTTATAATAATGAAACAAAACCAATATTCTTTATGTATTAACAGAAAAAAAATCTTCCAATCTGTTCCTTTACACAGGTACCCTTAAAACTTTTGTAAAATCAGTCTTTTACACTTCTGTAACCATCAGGTATGTCATCTTTAGTGCTTTTTCCAGTGTTACCAGTAAGTGTCTCCATTTTACTCTTCCATGTGAATCCATTCTATAACAATATCAGAACACTTGCAATTAAAATGTGTAAGTAATTAACAATAGCAGAGCTTTATGACTTTTCCAGATCCTTGCAAATCAAGTTTCCACTGCTGAACTGCCAGGGTACATCAGGAACAGTCACCATCAGGAGCATTTTGCTAAGTTAAGTAAGCAGCAGCCACAAGCTCTTGCTGAACCTCAACTAGCCTATTTTTATCATATTTTAAAAAGATTTAAATCTTTTTGCCATGTTCATTACCATGGAAACTAAAAAACACTGAATCCAACAGTGGATATGCAGCAAGCACTCAGCCTACAGCAATACACCACAGCTAAATGAGAAATAGCAGAAGCAGAAAACAGAAGGAGGCAACACATGAACATGGAAACAGTGAGATTAATGTGAGTTCAGATAAGCTCATCTCTAAAACAATTTTTACTGTAGCTAGTTATTACAACTGCTGTGACATACATCCAGATGCTGTAGTACTCCACAGTGAAGAAAACAAAGACACAGCAATTCGCTCTGTAACAAAATTAAGCAGTCCACACTGCCATCACCTGCAACCATGTTCTATACTCCTCTGCAGGCATACAAGCTCCCAGTTCAAGTCA